CAGCCAAAGTGCCCATCAGCAGATGAGTGGATTAGAAAACTGTGGTACATCCACACAATGGAATACTACTCTGCGGTAAAAAGAAGAAATTATTAGCATTTGCAAAGGCATGAATGGAACTGGAGAGCATTATGCTAAGCAAAATAATCCAGTCAGAGATAGATAAACATCACACAATCTTACTCGTTTATGGAATATAATGAACATAAAGTGACGAACAGAAATAGACACAGAGACAAAGAAGCAACGAACAGACTGTCAAACTACAGTGGAAAGGCAGTGGAGGGGGTAAGAGATCAACTGAAGGACTTGTATTCCTTCTTATAAGGATAATCAATGGACACAGACACTGGGGAGGTGGGGGGAGGCAGGGGGATAGGGAGGCTAGGGGAGGCCAATGGGAGAAAAAGGAGATATATGTACTACTATTTGTAATACTTTAAACAATAATAATAATAAAAAAGACCTTTAGTCAAAAATATCACACAAATGAGGATGCTGTTACACCATGAAAACTGGAGTTTGCCTTTGCACTGGGCTGGTTTTTTCCTTGGTGGATGGCCAGACAAGGTACCTTCAGACTTTGCTTCAGCCCTCTTCTGAGGGGTTCCTTAAGTAAAGCTTGGCCATCCAGGTCCCGGCTCAACTAACTGGATCAGGGCTCAGTGCCTGACCAAGGGTGGTCTACCGTCAGCCAGCGGCTTCTGGGGTGACTGAAAAAAACAGCCTTGCTCTCTGCTTCACAATAATGATGACCCCAACCAGAACTGCTTCTGAGGAGGACTGACTCTGAGGAAAAGACCTCAGCAATACAGAAGAAGAGAGACAGAGAAACAGAAATGAGCAGGATTCCTGCAGAAGCAGAAACAAGGCTGCAGAAGCCAGGAGGTGAGGGGAAGATGAAAGGGATGTGAGTTGATGCAGTGACAGAACCAGTGAGCTGCCACAGAGTCATGGGATAAAGGAGAGCAGCAGGTGGGTGTTTCTCCAGGACCAGTTACCAGGGTCCAGAAGGCAGAACGAAAGCTCCATTGGGATTCTGAGGAGCACTGAGTGTTTGCAGACCTACGTGGACTGCCAACCTGTTCTGTTTTACTTCCCCCGAGCAATCTCAATGAAGACCACCATTAGCTGAGGAAATCTGTGTCTCCTTCCCCTAAAATAGCCCATGCCCACTTCCTCTGAGCCTTTCCTGTTCCTGGGCACAGCTCTTACTCTCCTTCTTAATGGTCCCTCTCTGTCCCTCTCACTCTTTCCTGCCTCTTTCCTCATTTGAGAGCTTCTTTTCCTCAAACACTTTGAGTTTTTCTTAGGTGGCTATCATCTAGAACTGACACATATTTATATTGGCTGAATCCAGTTTAATGCATTCTGTTTACCTGGAAGACTGCTTTTAGTTAATTATTGCTTGATGAGTAAATTAAGCAGAGAAAACCTAACACTTTTTATTTCTCATTGGCATATAATCTTTATATATAAAAGCCTAACTAAGTGGCCATTACAATCGAACTACCAAAATGACCATGACAGTAGACCAGTCACTATGATGCACACTGACCACCAGGGGGCAGACTGGTGGTCAGTGCACTCCCGCAGCCAACCCTCCAGGTCCTCTCCCCCACACCAGGTGGCCAACCTTACGTGGCCCCTCCCCCCAACCAGCCAACTCCCTCCCCACTCTACCCCCATAGGCCTGGATCATGGGCCAGGCTGAGGAAACCCACTTGTGCACAAATTTGTGCACCGGGCCTCTAGTACTTAATTAGCAAAGATAATAATCTATAAGACAAGGAGAAGTTCACCAAAATCTGCATGCAGATAACTTCTTACACTTGAACCAAATGTAATTTTTTTCATGCACTAGACAGACAACTACTTATTAAACTTGAACTTATTACAAATTTAATAGGGTCTGAAGACCAGCTGATTTCATTGAAAAACGATGTATCCTAATGAGCGCATATCATTTTAGAAAAAAAAGTTAAGACATCTGTCTAATAGATTAAAAGCCACTCTTACTTCTTGTATTCAGCAAAAAGAGAAGTAGACAGAGAGACCCAGCACTTCCTGTCTGTTTAGAATAATTGGAAATTAAGTTCAACATAGGGCTGTGTTTGGTATCAGGGTATGCAAATGTAAGTGAATCTATTGGATGTGGTATTCAATGTAGCTTCTAGTCTTTTCCTTGGGGGAAATTTCTATGCACATTGAAGGCTCCCTCAGACATTAAGAGGATTTTACTCTTCAATGGTGATAAAAAATGGGGACAATCTATAAGATCTTGAGTCTGTTAATATCTTTAGAGGATAACAAAATGCAGGAAGCACAGGTACTGTGTGGTTTTTCTTTTCATTTAATTTGGTCACAGGACTCTAAAACCCAAATCGCTTTCTGCTACAAAGGAAAATGCGTCTCCTTATCCAGTTTATGCAAATCCAGGACTATTAACTAAATAATGAAGTGACCTTAGCATGCAAATACAGAAACAGTTTGGCATTGAGGGACTGGGGGAAAAATTAGGGCCCGAAACACTCCTGTCTATCAGTCCTCATCATTTCAAAAACAGGAGAGATACAATGCACTTCCCTCTGGCTAACTCTCAAGAGAGATGGTGAAATGCTGACCTTAGCCAAGTCTTAGTCTAGTAGGGCCCCCAATCTTTTACCATTCCTTCCCCTTCCCAATATTTCTGGGATTTACAAAGAATTGGGACATTTGAGGAAAATTTAATATGCCACATCCTGCTCTAAGCAGTTCATTCATTAAAAAAATATTAAAATATAGAAAATTCCATGTTTTCTCTATGAATACCTATATTTATATATATATATATATATTTTTTTTTTTTGCTGAATAAGTCTATATTTGATATTCAACTATTGAACAGAATACGTTCTTTTGTACAGGATTTCTTAGGACAATATATAGGCTATATATTTTTTGTCTCTAAAATGGCCCCATTTGATTAAAATTAAAAACCCACTAATGGAGAGGAATTAAAATTTCTTTTTCTGCTGACAGAAAACTCAGAATTTAGCCTTCATGCAGCTTTTCTGAGAAAAGAAAAATTTAGATGTTTCCTTAATATAATGTTGAATCAAGCTGAAGTAGTTAAATTTGGAAGATACAAACAAAAGCGCTGATATTAAAGCTTTACAAGTTGATGTAAAATTACAAAATTCATAGAAAAGATATTTGTGTTATCAAATAATTCTAGAGGAAGATCTTCTAACATGCAGATATAATCTTAAATTAGTCTAAAAAATATACTGCAAAGAAAATACATTTTAAAGGCTTTTAAATACCGATGATCACAGTTCTGAGCACCTTTTAAAATATCTTTTCAATTAAGTTTTGAGTCCCCACCAGCTAGGCTTGTGTTCTGTAAGTTTGATTTGATTTTACAAGGAGAAGCTGACCTCATCTACACATGTTCTAACAGCTTTGACTGGCTGGGCTCAGGCCGGGGAACTCTCAAAAGAGCAGAGAAGAAAGAACACAGCCTTGCAATTGAAATTCAAACTTGCTTGTATGCATGTGTGTATGAGAGAGTAGCCCAAATAAAGTCCACTTTTTGTTTCATTCTACTGAATTGGCTAAAGGATTTATAAAGCCAGGGCCCTCATTATGGTAATGTAGGTTAAATACTTTAAAAAAAAAATCTATGCTGCAACCTCATGAATTCAAACCACTCTCAGAACCAGCAGGTCGCTGGTCAGAAACTCAGCCCCACTCTTTGTCTGACCAACTAAAATTCAGAATGGCAGCACAAACACGGTGAGGTAGTGAAAGTTGTGCTTCTAGGTGACTGTTTCCAACAGGGAAAAAATAACCTGAAGAGTGAAAGGTCTCACTCTTACCCACAAGACAAGGTGGAGAGTTTAATTTGCCTCTTTGCCCGGCTGACAATGCAGCCTGTTAAACTCATTCCCATTAAGAGTCAGAGGAAGGAAGAGGAGTGCCAGCCACGCTGTACCCACCTTCCAATTCACCAAAACACCACATTGCTGAACATCCACATGAGCAAGGAACAGACATGGACTAGCGAATGAGAAACTTTCCCCACAGAAACGTTGGTTCTCTATTTGCTTGGGAACATTATGAGACTTTGAAGGAAAACACACACACACACACACACACACACACACACACACACACGGGCACAAAATTCCCCAAACCCAGACACTTTTATTGCATCTGGCAATAAAAGAGAGGCACAAGCTTTTCAGAAGTTGCTGTCCTGTGCTTGTTTCTGTGAAGCATGTGTGATGAAGGGGACAGGCTGACAGGCCCAGTAATGGCCTTGTTTAGATGCCACTTCCTATCTGCAGAACAGTGGCAGCCACAGTCTGTTACAGGACACAAAGAGAAACTGCTCCCTGGTAAGGTCTGTACCAGGAGCCTGGCAGGGGTCAGAAATGGGTGATGTGGCCTACGTGCCAGCTGAGCAAAGCCTAGAGAGCACATGCCCTTCCTGAGGGAAGCAGGGAGCATTCAGTCAGACTCACACACTCCCGGCTGGATGGTGAGCATGGGATGGAGCTGTCGATCTTTCAAGAACAGCCAGAAACCCAGACTCAAACCTCCCCATTTGAAAATGAGAGCAACTGATTAAAAAATTAAATTGTGTGGGTCAAACAAAGCAGGTCTGTGGCTTCGATACAGCCCAAGGTTAAACCTTTTTCTCACCTCGATGAAGAATGTGTGAAGAGTCAGAATGGTTTGCTTCTGACTCAATGACTTGTTTCAGACCACATGAATGAAGCACAATTTTGGTTAGAAATGCCTGAAAATATGCAAATGACTGAAAATATGCAAATGACTGATCGCACTTCTCCTCAGTAGAACCGGGGTGAATACCATTATGAACATAAGAGACTCGTCAGATAGGGAAAAAGCTGAACTATTTCACTTCAAAGAACTATTTGACATCTATTCAATACTATTTTCCAAGGAAAGTGAGCTATCTTACCTGTGCTCTCTTGAGAATGCTGTGTTCATCAGTGCTTGCTGTTGGATAGACTTTTGCCATAACTATTGTTTTTCCCAAAGGCCCGCATGCTTTCTCCCGACTCTGGCTGCAATCTTACATTTGGGACGGTAAAAATAGAAGACACTGTGGACAGAATGAAAAGTTGTCACTTTTCATTATTTTCAATATATTTATCAATGTATTTCTTTTTTTTTTTAAAATAAAAATGAATATTGAGATACACTTCTGGAGGGCTAGCACATGGAACATTACAGTGTATATTGGCCTTTGAAAGTAAGTAATCACAACCATACTCACATTTATACAAACGTACACACATATGACAGGACAGTCTGTTTTCACCTCAGAACCACAGCTCAATAGGTGAAAACAACCTATTTTTCCCTTTCTTTGTGCCATACTTTCATCTATTCATTAAAGAAATATTTATTGAATCCCATGCTGTACTAGGACTTCAGAACCCTGATGTGCATGAATCAGAAGGAAAAGAAATCCCTGTTTTTACAGATTCCACTTGGAGAAGACAGAGGAAGACAATCAGACAAATATAAACTATCAACTGGTAGTGAGTGTCATGATGAAAAATAAATCAAGGAAGAGAAATTGGAAATGCTGGGGTAGAAGTAGGTACATTTGAACAGAGACCCACAGGAGGTAAGAGGACAAGCCATACCTATATAGAGGAAGAGGAAGTACAAAGGTAGAAAGAGGATACAGCAAGAGCTGACTCTCAGGAGGCAAGAAGAGAAACAGGCAAAAACGCTAAGAGGCTACTATAAAAATACAGGTGACAAGTGGATAGAAAAGCTGTGGTACATATATACAATGGAATATCACTCAGCCATAAAAAAGGATGAAACCTTACCATTTGTGACAGCACTAATGGACCTACAGGATACTATGCAAATTTGTCAGAGAAAGACAAATACCATATAATTTCATTTACATGTGGAATCTAAAGAATGATATAAATGAACAAACTAACAGAAACAGACTCACCAATGCAGAGAACAGACTAGTGGTTTCCAAAGGGGAAGGGGGCTGGGGGACTGGGTGAAAAAGGTGAAGGGATGAGAAGATTGGTAGTCACAAAATAGTAACAGGGACGTAAAATACAGCATAGATAATAGACTCACTAATATTGCAATAACTATGTATGGTGTCAGGTGGGTGGTAGAAATATCAGGGGGAACACTTGGTAAAGTATATGATTGTCTAACACTATGTTGTACACCTGAAACTAATACAAAATACTGGAAGGGGGGAGACAAACAGAGAACAAAATACAGGTGAAAGAAGACAACCAGTGACTTGGAACACAGTGACAGCATTGGAGAAGGGAGAAGGGGTGTGATTCTGGATATATTTTGAAGATAATACCAACAGGGTCTGTGGAAGAAGTGAGTATGGGTGTGACAAAAAAAAGCTTCTGAAAGAACCTGCATTAACTGGAAGCACGATGTTGCCATTTGTTGACCAGGAAGTTACTGGTAAGTTTGAGATGCCTGCTAGGTGGCCAAATGGAGGTTCTGAGTAGTCACGTGGATATGCAATCAGGGGAGGTGGGACTGGAGATATAAATGAAATTTGGAAGCTGTCAATATATAAGTAATATTTAAATCATGAGAATGTAAGAGATCATCGAGGCTCTAAGGAGCGAATATAGACAGAAAAATTTGAGAACTAAGCCCCAGGGCATTCTAACAGTGAGAGGTCTGGCAGATCAGGAGACATCCACAGGAGCCTAAAAAGTAGAGGCAGAAGGAAAACCCTGGGAGAGTCCTATCCTAGTATCCAAGTGAAGGAAATGTTACCCAGAGGGGAGGGGGGTCAATTGGGTTGAATTCTGCTGATGGGTCAAGATGAGGGCTGATGATGCCGAAGCCGGTTTGGCTCAGTGGTAGAGCGTTGGTCTGCGAACTGAAAGGTCCCAGGTTTGATTCTGGTGAGGGGCATGTACATTGGTTGCGGGCACATCCCCGGTAGGGGTTGTGCAAGAGGCAGCTGGTCGATGTTTCTCTCTCATCGACGTTTCTAGCTCTCTATCTCTCTCCCTTCCTCCTCTCTGTAAAATATCAATAAAATATATTTTAAAAAAAAGAAAAAAAGATGAGGGCTGATGAAGGACCAATGGATAGAGATTTGGAAAACAGGGGATTTGGAGTCTTGGGTGCAAAAGCCTGGGTCAAAAGGATCCACGAGAGAATGGAAATCTAGGAATTACAGGCAGCAAACACATTTAAAAGGGTGTGTTTGTTTTCTGTTTAAAAAGATGACCTGGAACTACCCTGATAGCATAATGTTGTTTTAGGGTAATATCTGGGACATACGTAGGACCAGGTAGGAAAACCTACAAATCTTATAGCTGGAAAGGTCCTTAGGGAGCACTGGTTTTCTCAGTGAGAAACCGGAAGTGCACATGAATAAGGAAGTTGGCCAAAGTTGCTGGGCTACTTAGTGGAGCTGATGCTAGAATCCAGGGGGTCTGGTTCCCAGTTCAAGGCTCTTCACACCACACCAATTTGTTAGGCTGTTTTTCACTGCAGATCAGAGTGCTGTGAATGCACAAATGAACGTAATAAAATTAAGACCTCTGCGCTATGAAGTGTATTTTGTTCATTTACTTGGACAAGGGTAGTTCAGCTTCAATAATTCATGCAACTTGATAGTATACACAGGAGAATGCCCTATGGCGTGTTTGGGAAAAGTAATGAATTTCTTCTAAATCAGCCTCTCATTTCCTTCCCTGCAATTAAATCTCTGTGAAGAAGTGGGGCAGGGCTGTTGGGGTTTCAGGGCAGAGGGGGAATGACAAGGTGCCACCAGAATTAGCCAGCTTTAACCGCAAGATCCCCAGGTAACTGGACCATTATTCCTGCTTGATAAGTTTGTAATTCCTGCCTCACTGGCACACAAGTACATTACTTCTAAATTGTGGTATTATGTAATCTGGCAGGGTTTTAAGGAGTAGTATAATAAGGAAAGGTACTCTATCGTCGTATGTTCTTCCAAAGAAAGTAAGAGTCTGGCATAAGTAAACTTCATCTTTGTATAATCCATGAAATGACTGCAGTGCTCTTCCTAACCAGGGCTCTGAGCACATGTGACAGTCTTCTCTCAGGGTCTGATATATACATTAAAGTGGCCAAGAAGGCTTGTGCCCACTCTTCTCCTTTTCGTCTAGTTTCATTTTCTGCTTGCACAATTGTTTTTCTTTTGTTGACATTCTTTTTAAAAATGCTGGGCGCTACCTTTTAAGATTGTGAGTGCTCTGGACTGAACTGTGTCCTCCCAAATTTGTATGTTGAAGCCTTAGCCCTCAACGTGATGGTCTTTCGAGATGGGGGTTTTGAGTAATAAGTAGGGCTAGGTGAGCTCATGAGGGTGGGGCTCTCGTGACGAGATTAGTGGCTTTATAGGAAGAGGATGTGAGAAAGAGGTTACTCTGTCATGGGAGAAGACAGCAAAGTAGCTGTCCACAAGGCAGGAAGAGGCTCTCACCAGGAACCCAATTTGCCAACACTTTGAACTTGAACTTCCCAGTGCCAAGAACTGTGAGAAAAGGCTTGTTGTTTAAGCACCTCCCCACCCCTCTGCCTATAGGAGCCCGAACAGACAATGCAGCGAGGTGCCTGGAATCCATGAATCTAAACCATCACCAGGTTCAGTGGTTGGCAAACTCATTAGTCAACAGAGCCAAATATCAACAGTTCAACGACTGACATTTCTTAAACTTAAACTTCTTCTAATGCCACTTCTTCAAAACAGACTCACCCAGGCCATGGTATTTTGTGGAAGAGCCACCACACTCAAGAGGCCAAAGAGCCACATGTGGCTCAAGAGCTGCAGTTTGCTGACCACTGACCTGGTTGATAAGACAATCCGTTTATTGGTTCTGCAACACGTTCTCTCAGGTGGACCTCCTACCAAATCTCCTTGAAAAGGAAGCAAGCATGGGAGGGTACTGCCAGCTCTGCTTCCTTTTGCCAGCTGGTAAACTTTTACAAGGCTCCACACTAATGCAAACTTGAAAGTTAAGACTTTCTAAATATAGTCTGCAGAACATCAACCTAGATAACAGTCACCAGAACGAGTCACTTTACCCAGAACTAGTTCCAAAGTCTCTTTGTTTTGTAAACATGTGTGTAGGACTACCATGTTGTTCGAAATGGAAATGACTATAGTGTTTAATACTGGGACTGTCTTTCTTAGGACTGGCTTTATGCCTCACAATGATTATCCACTAGGCACAGAAACAGCATTTCTGCAACTCAAAATTGTTACCAGAGGCATTTAGCAGAATCATGCTTAAAAAAAAAATAATGATTTCTCATCTGTATTCTCCCCCCTTCAAAAGGTTTTACTCCTCCTGATGTTTAACGTTATGCAAAGACGTGTTTCTGCCAATGACTATCACCTTATTGTTATGCTTCTGCAAATAGCCTGCTGTGAGCTGATAAAGGGATTAATGCAGCCAAAATTCTTAATCTGTGAAATTACAAATTAAATTCTCATATTAAAAATACCACCCTGAGGTATTTTTTTGTGGTTTTAATTCCCCTCTGGTGTTCTGCATACACTGCGCTTGCTAATGAGGGGGACAAGGCTGTCTCGGCTGGCAGCCTGCTGCTGAGTGATAATGTGGAGGCATTTACTCCCTGATAGAAAATGGATTTAAACCACTGGCTGATAAACTAAGTGGCAAGTGGGTAATAAGTCCATATTAACAGAAAAGTAGGACTACAAAATTCAGAATTCATACACCATCAAAATCCTGGCTTAAACCCAGTCATCAAGTCAGATGGGATTGAGATGTCACCAAGGAGGAGTGATATCAAGCTACAAGTTATACTAAAAAAGGAAAACAATCCATATGGTTGAGTTTGATGAGCCATAAACTAATATGCCCATTTGCATCACTTTTTTTTTTAAGATTAAAAGGATGTGCGACCAATTCATTATTTTTCCATAGTAATCTTATCTTTTATTTTTTTTTAAATATGGATAGTTGTTGTCATGGTCAGTAGGTATACTTTTAAAAAGGAAGTAGTGCAAAACATAAAATAAATGTGATGTTTTAAAAAATTTACAAAGTTTAGGGGGAGTAGTGGCTTATAATCACTTTAGGGTAAAAAAAAGGAATTCAAACAAATTGTGGGATTATAAAAAATAATTTAGGGTAGGAATACTACAGAGCAGTTGTTACTTATGACTTAGTTCCAAAATAAAAGGGTTATTGTTGCCAAGGAGAATTTAATACAATGGGGGAAATGTTTAAAGCCCAAAAGATTAAAGAAATAACTAGGTATGTCCATGGTAATTGATGTATATCCGAGGATTAATAAGCACATCATCAATATATATGCATATGTGCAGCATATTAATTTTCAGACAATCAGAATGAGAAAAAATATCTCTAGTTTGTATGTGGAAAGAACGTATCACCATGAAACAAAAATGTTCTTGAGTGTTTTGCAAAATTTCACAAGAATCCTGTTTCACACTTTGGAAGAAAGATGAGATCCTCCCAGCCATAAATCCTCCCCCAAATATTTAAAAATGTAATTGAAAGAGGCTGTGTAAATATGAACACTTCTGTAAAAACAAAACAAAAACCCACCCAGGAATGTGTTTTGTTTTAAGAGATCTAGAGAAGATCTGTCTGAATTAATACCAAGAGCATTTGTAGTTAAAATGAATTATGCCTTCAGTTCTTACATGTCAATTCAGTGCATTAGCCAATTGCCAACTCTACTCGTCAGCTCACTGCATAGCAGCCCTTTTTAAGGTTATTGTTACAACCAAGATGGTCTCTGAGAATCAAACAGAAATGAATCATTCCTCCTCTGCACCGCAGCCAGTTAAAAAGTACTGTATGCATAAATATGTAAATCATATTTTCCCTTTCCTTTATGACTGCTCAGATCATTTTTTTTTTGGACACACACATAATCAAACACAAAGACATGCAGCTGCAAACTGCAGAGCAGAGATAGCAAAAAGGAATCCATTTTCTTCCTGTGTCTGGTAAGCTGGCGTTTGAATGGCAGGATTCCACTAAATATATACATATATCCCTTCTTCCCCTCTGTATTCTCTCTCCCTCTCCACACACACACACACACACACACACACGTACACATATGTATATAGACTCTCACACATAATATATACGCAAGCATATAATCTTACACATGCACATGCATACATCAATCTCTCTACATGTACTAGTATTGTTACATGTAGATGCTAAAATGATGTCCCTGCTTTGATTGGATATTGTAGATTTGTCCTACTCACTATCAGTCAGTTCCCAGAGCCGTGGGGGCAGGTCACTAAAATACTCGTGGCTCAAGGCAGCCTGTGCTGATAGTCTGTTCTTTGGGGAACACTGTAGGAGTTTGGAGGCCAGGTCCTCTGCGTAATTCACATAGCTAAGCCTGAAAACATAAGCACAAAAGAGAGAAATCAGACCAAACATGAAGAGTCACTCAATAAAACATAAGGCTCACCCACATTTTCTGGGCTTATTTATCCCTGGCCAAGAAAACAATTAAATTACCTGCTGAAAATAAACAGAAGCTGAATACATGTTGGTTCTTAGAGTTATCTGTTATGCTAAACTCACTGGCTTTTACTCTTGTAATTTTAGTCTCATTAATTTAAAATATTCCTACTATAAGCAAAAGGTTGATACTGGCAGGCTAGCACTAGGTCCAGAGGTAGAAAATTTCAGACGATAATTTATCAAACAGTTGTCAGAATTTGTTCATAGGATCTATGTACTGCATACACATCTGGATACATTTACAGGAAAATTAATACAAAATAACCAGGAGAATTAAAATAAAACTGCTATTAAACTCTCTAGTTACGAATGTTACCTTTTCTCTAAGAATTCACATTTTCTTGCATTTAATATAAAATTTTTGGAACAAGTACAGTCAAATGTCAACAATGAGAATATGAACATGCAGGTTAACAAAGGGGATATGCTTAAACCATATGGGGCTGAATCAATTCAAGATGACCTTTTAAAACAACAGTAGATAGAAAATGTGTCTCAAGATTATAAAAAAAAAAATAAAAGCAGAAGTAAAGTCTTCCATGTGGTACAGCTTTCAAATGGGCAGCAGACCACACAGCCCAGCCTAGCCCAGGCCAGCCTTGCTTTTCATGGAATCTGTTTCAAGGCTCCATACAATCAAGCCTGGATAGTTAACATAGTGATAACAAAAGTATTCCCAATAATGGCTACCATTTAGAGATAGATGAATATATGTCAAGCCCTTTTGCACTCTCTCATTTATGACAGTCCAATAAAATCATCCTGTTCCAATCCAGTAAAAGGAGCTAAGTGGGAGTCTGAGAAGGTAGTGGGTTGCTCAATTAGGAGGCTGGGTGAATTCAAACCTCTCCAGAATTATAATTCTGAAATGGTTAGGTGGATATAGAATACAGCACAGAGAATATAGCCAATAATTTTGAAATAACTATGTATGGTGCCAGCAGGTACTCTACTCATCGGGGGATCACTTCCTAAGTTACATAATGTCTAACTACTATGCCATATACCTAAAACTAATTTAATATTGAATGTCAACTAAAATTTAAAAAGTTAAAGTGGTTTGTATTTGCCATGCTCTTGAACTGTTTCCAAATTAGAGGCTTTTACCCTTGATTTCTGTGTATCTGCAACAAGGTTCAGTAAGTACAGACTCAGAGGCAGCCAGAAGACTGTGCAGAAAGTGGCACCTGCCTGTGGGTATTTGCTCGTGCCCTGCTGGTGGGAATGCAGACTGGTGCAGCCTCTGTGGAGAACAGTATGGAGTTTCCTCAAAAAAAACTAAAAATGGAACTCCCATTTGACCCAATGATTCCACTTCTAGGACTATGTCCCAAGAAACTAGAAACACGAATAACAAAAGATATATGCACCCCTATGTTCATAGCAGCACAATTCACCATCACTAAGATTTGGAAACAGCCTAAGTGCCCATCAGCAGATAGATGCATGGAGTAAAAAACTGTGGTACATCTACACAATGGAATACTATGCTGCTGTAAAAAGAAAGGAACGCCTACTATTTGCAACAGCATGGATGGACTGGAGAGCATTATGCTAAGTGAAATATGCCAGTCAGAGAAAGATAAATATATCATCACTCATTTGTGGAATATAATGAACAAGGTAAAAATATTGTGAACAAAAACAGACAGAAAAGCACTGATCAGACGCTCAAACCTCAGAGGGAAGGTAGAAGAGGGTGGAATAAGGAGAGATGTATGCATGCATATAAGCCTAACCAATGGACACAGACACCAGGGGCGTGAAGGCATGATTAGGAGGTGGGGACAATGAGGGAATAAGGACACATATGTAATACTTTAATCAATAAGAAAAAAGAAGGAAAAAAAAAAAAAAAGCCCTGAAGCTAGTAAACACACAATTAGCCTTAAACTCCTGTCCTCAAAGACCAACAAACTCTCCCATCCCCCTCCTCAAGCAGCTTTTTAGTATTGATTTTACATTGTTGTGGGGGCAGAAGAGGAAAGGAAGCAAGGAACTTGGGCAGAGGAAGAAAAAGGGGTAAGAGCAAAGACCTTCTCTCTAAAGCTTCACACATGGAGCCCTCTAGACGGTTCAGTGCTTGGCAGCTGCAGTGGCTGTTTGTAAAACACTGATCAGTGGATTGGTTTTAAATATGTCTGCCTGGCAAAGGAAAACGTGTCCACAGCAGAAGGAGGCATTATCAGATTCTCAGATTTCCCCTCCCCTGCTTTCCTTTAAGAGGGGCCAGGGCCATCACAACGAATCCTTCCTCTTCCTAAGACACTCACTATTATAAACTGCTCACTGCTTTTAAAATATCAAATGCAAAGTCTGAGGTAGGTACTTAATGTTAAAAGTTGCACTTATATTGCAACGCAGTTTATCTATAATAATAAGAGCATAATATGCTAATTAGACCAGATGTCCTTTCGGACGTCCTTCCAGATGAAGCCAGGGCTGCAAGGGAAGCCCAGGTCCCGGGTGCCTGCTGGTGGCCAGAGGGAAGCCAGTACTGGCAGCCGGGAGAAGGAAGGCATACTCTTGCACGAATTTCGTCCATCGGGCTTCCAGTATACATATATAATCATGGTGAAAAATATACTGGTGTCCATTCTCTATAACTTTGATAAAATAAGACAGTGCCAGATTGAGACCAGATCTGAGTTAAGTGCTGACTCTGTTACAAGAGTGATAAACCCGTGTGCAGTCCTTACAGCACCAATAAGCCACGAATGAAGCATGGTTTCACTATTTCGAAGATTTATATTTGTAGTTGTATTTCTGTTTTTGCAATGCATTGCTGGTCACATTTAAATTGTATACATATGTACCCAACTATAATAAAATCACCAATATGAGACCATCTCATTTCTCATCTCCCAAAGTGAGCAAACTTTAAGGATGTCGATGATACAAACCAATGCTTATTCGTGACATTCAGTTTACACACAAATTATAAATGATACATATAAAATTTTAATTTAGAAAGTTTGCTATGTCCTCACTTGCATTTCAAGAACCACTTTTATTCCAACTCACCACATGCATCTTCAACATCAGAGTCTTTGTGATCACCAGAGCCTTTGAGGCCATGCAAGGTGTTTGAGACATGAGACTTCTGGGATATCTTCGATATTTGGAAGTTTTACCCCAAGCCAAAGGCGGGCCTTATCAGAATGTCAATATGACTGTGGCTGTTGTTTGCAGTCTCCCATTGTGTTGAAAGATTTTTAAAAATTTTCTTGTAATTCCATCAATTTTTGTTTTATATATTCTTTAAAGTCAAGTAATTAAGTACGTTAGTAATCTAGTACTGTTATCTCTTCCTGGTAAATTAAGCCATCAATCCTTCTGTAGTGACTGTTTTTATCTTTAATAAAACTTTCTGGGCTAAAGTTCATTCCTTTTCTCATATTAATTTAATAACTTCAGAGTTTTATTTATTTATTTATTCAATATTTGCCTGGCATACATTTGGTAACTCTCTCAAATTTTCATAGCCATAATTGTAAGGTTTATCTTTCATAAATACTACATAGCTGGGTTTAATACTTATTCAATTAAAGAATCCCCATTTTCTAAAAAAATTTAGTCCATTTACATTTTGTGATCACTGATAGATTTAAATTACTGCTATCCTCTTAAACTTGCATTCTATTTTCACCTACTTTATCTTTTGGTTTTTTGTCTTTTTTTTGGATTTCATCTTATTCAACATTTCCATCTTCTGTTTTAAAACTATACATTGTATTTTTATGTGTAGTAATTACTTTTAACTCTTTTATTTTGCATTTCAATATTTATTTAGGTGTTTAAGCTCTCACAATGAGTTTTACAAGCTGATGGACACACTGACAAAGTATTTTCCCAGAGAATTATAATCATACATCCAGACAATATAAATATATAATTGAGTTAACATTGATGCGCAGCACCATTTTACCAATTACATAATAATACAAATGAAAAGTCACACAGTTCAACAGAAATATAAAATATCAGATATATGTTCAATTCATTAGCAGAAACTAACTGCTGTTTCATAGGGCATAGTCCATACCTTCTGCACAAGACAAGAAAAATATTTTGCTAAAAACCCTTTAGTAGCTCACTCCCACTCTTTGTCCAGGCCCTCTCTTTTAAGTTGCACCCCAAAGTGCAAACATAAAATTAGTTCTCAGACGTTGTGTCTGGAGACTGTAAAGATATGTGCTTCTGTATGATGTAGATTTTGCATGAGCTCTTTCCCCAGAGATTTGTGATTTTTCAAAATGGAGGTTATCATAACTGCACAAAATGAGATTTATAGAAAGACATTAAAAAATCATCATAAACTTGGTCAAAAGCCAACAGAATCAGCGGTTACACAAACCTGATGTCTCCTGTTTTAAATATGGGAACTATCAACACAAAGTAGCAGGCAAATAGCCATAGAAGCCCTACTGTCAATGTTTGAAATGAATGAAGGGATAAACCACAGGCAATCTACACTGGTCTTCCTAGTTCCTGGGATCTTAATTCTATATGAGATTAAAAACATGTTAAATATTGTGCTTGGTATTTCAGCACCCAGTCTCTCTAAATTTCTTACCTTTTGCTACGATTCTGGCATGGAAATAGATTTGAAGGAGACATAACTCAATACTGCATGGTTTCAGGAAAGGTCAGTTGATAAAAGTGATAAGCATGTTTTAAATGCTGAACAGCGAGAATCTTTTGCTAAATTTCCAACTAGGCTGATCATAATCCAAACACAGAGGCTGAAATTCCGCCAAGCTGAAGCCTGATAAAACTGCTTATCAATGCTCCCAGGAAAGCTTCATTGACTTATCCTTCACCAAGCCTACATTTTGGCTCAGAGTTATGATAAACTGGGTCCTGTCTGAA